GACACTTCCAGGTACCAGACTGAGAAAAAGCAATCTGATGGAGCCAAGAGCTCCTTTCAAATTGTTATCCACTGAAGAGTTAGAGACATTTAACTTTTGCATAACCTGTAATTCTTCTTTAGGTCTCTAAACTGTTTGCCTCTCTGACTGTTGCACAGAATGACTGTGCATGCTTATAATTCATGTTTCCTATGATATGTGCATGTAGCGATAAGATGACTGGTTTGATTAAAACAACTAACAGGAGAAATAGCTAAGCACCACTTTTAGACTTTTATACCAGACCAAGCTGAAAACACATTTAAATTTAATGTGGTTTCTTCAAATCTTCAAAGTTTTTTTTTCTAGTTTACCTCTGAAACGATCTGAATGAAATGCCTTCTGGTTAACTCACTAAAACACAACACCAGACTGAGAGGCAGTTTCTTCCCCAGAGCTGTGACATCCATCTAAATTCAACATGTGACTTTCTGCACATATTTATTCTGCATATACGGATAGTGTGCATTCAGTTGTTTTATTGTGTTTAAGTGCCTCTTCTGATGTGTGCCGAGAGTCACATAAAATGCACCTTCATCCTATTGTAACCTGCTTCATCACAATCTGTTTTGTCCTGTTTGTCATGTCCAGTCTCCGATGAAGAATTGTAAACTGCACTGCACACGGTGGCTTCAGTGAAAGATGACCAGAGACATTTTACCGATTGACAAGTTTCTGTTTGTCTGCATTAAGGTTCACACTCTGGAGGTTTTGCAGAAGGAGCTGAATGAGAGCGAGCACCTCGTGTTCCAGGCGTTGCACAGCCTGCAGAGAGCGCTACAGGGAGACTACAAGGATGTGGTCAACATGAAGGAGAGCAGCAGACAAAGGCTGGAGGCCCTCAGGGAGGCAGCCATAAAGGTGAAGTCAGCTGTGTTTCATTATTTGTATCTCAGTTTTTCAAAAGACAGGGAAATATCAGAAGCCCAACAATCAGATGACCCACTATGAGTAAGCTCTTTGGTGACAGTGGAAAGAAAAAACTGTCTTTTAACAGGAAGAGACCTGTAGCAGAAATGGAAACTCCCAAAAAGACTATCCAAAATGTAAATTTATTATCAAATAAGTCCTGTGTGAATATAGGAGACTGTTGATATGATCATCCTACAGACCTCAAAATTTAAGACTGAATCTTTAATACACATTTCCTACATTCATCTCTCCTAACATATGCATGGCCCCTCTTATCTCACTTCAGGAAGAACAGGAGTACGTGGAGCTGGTGGCGGCTGAGAAGCATCAGCAGGAAGCTGTTAAAAGCGCTTTGGCCCAGAACAAGACTCTGTCCATCCTGGATGAGATCCTGGAGGATGTCAGGAAGGCAGCCGACCGACTTGAGGAGGAGATCGAAGAGCACGCCTTTGACAACAACAAGCAGGTCTGCAGACAGTCACTGTCACATATTTTGGTTACTCAAAAACTGAAGATGATAGTGATTGTAGCTCCTTCCGTGCTGTGTGCTGTGTAGATGAAAGGAGTGAATGTAGAGGCCGTGCTGAGAGTGGAAGACGACGAAGAGAATGGAAGCAAGAGGAAGAACAAGTCCAGGCAAAAGGAAGTGGAGGATGACCTGGGACTGAGCATGCTCATTGACTCGCAGAACAACCAGTATGTTCTGACTAAGCCGCGAGACTCAACAATGCCGAGAGCCGACCACCACTTTATCAAAGTCAGTCATTCCTCGCGTGTATAAGAAGCAGATACTCTGTATTAATTTGTTTTGAGTCGTTTTTAGTCAGTATTGACGGGTTTTTTTAAACATGTATGTGCAGGACTTGGTTTCAGTGGTGATGTTGTCTCTGCCCTGTGGCTGGATTTGCACTCTGGCGGGTCTTCCTCCCATGTTTGGATATATCATCTGCGGGGTCCTGCTTGGTCCTTCTGGGCTCAACAGCATCAAGGTGTGTGAGAGCGAGACTGTAATTAATTTTTTTAAATCAGTCTTTTTTTCTACTTTCTGTGCTTGTTGTTTATATCTGTGCTCGGCTTTGCTTGTTGCAGTCTATGGTTCAGGTGGAGACTCTCGAGTTGGGTGTGTTTTCACTCTCTTTGTGGTCGGACTGGAGTTCTCACCTGAGCGCCTCAGAAAGGTAAATGAAGAAGATTTTGCTTTTGGAATAATGCAAAGGCAAAGGCAAGTCTGGCACTGATGCCAATGACATGGTCAAACTGTTCTGTGTGTTGTATTGCGGTGGTGCAGCATGACACGAATTAACCAACATCAGTATGAAAGCAACTTTTAAAACAATACTTTTATGTCCTTCAATGTTTGGTTTGAGCAGGGGTCTCCAACTCCAGTCCTCGAGGGCCGCTGTCCTGAAAACCTTCCATGCGACCCTGCTGCACACACCTGAAATACGATTAGTAGGTCATTAGCAAGACTATAGAACTGACTGCATGCAGGTGGCAACCCTAACCCTACTCATGTCAGTTTAAGTAAATAAGTGTTAGGAATAATGTACTTTTATTGCACCATGTTCATTCACATGAGCTACTGGAACATGAATCAAATGGCTGAGTTGCCACCTCAGCATGCAGTCAGGTTCTATAGAGTCCTTCTAATGACCTACTAGTCGTATTCAGGTGTGTTGCAGCAGGGACGCATGGAAAAGTTTCAGGGCAGCGGCCCTTGAGGACTGGAATTGGAGACCCCTGGTTTAGAGCCTGATTGGTATATTATTAGAGCTGAAAAGAAGGCGACTGGACTTTACGTTTTTGAAGACCGCACAAGGGTTTAAATACCTGGGACTCTCAACCTTTTGGTTTTAGAAGTGAAGAAGCCTTTGGATGAGAAGAGAAATGATTTTAAAAGAAAACTTAAAGAAGTCTGGTCGCTTTCTTTCTAACCTCCTTAAACAGCAGTGACCTGGATGACCGAGAAACTACGCAGACATATATTGGATGTAGCAGCTGATGTTTGCCAATGTAATGTGTAATTACTGTCCAGTTTGTGCTAATATAGAAGCTTTTTTATGCTTGGGATAATTTAGAAAAAGTTTAAGTAGCAGCGGACATGCTGAAGAATATTGGCTGATACATCTAGATTTAATTCCACATCAGTATTAGAATGTTTCTGTAAATCCACTATTGCTAATACCATTTGTTTTTAAAGCCTCTGTTACTTACTTTATGGACAGTCATCATCCAGTCATCTGTCTATGTGTGCATAGGTATGGAAGATTTCAGTTCAGGGTTCCTGCTCTTTGAGTCTGCTGATGGTAGGAGCCGGTTTGCTGTGGGGACAAGTCCTGCATATTCGACCCACCCAGACTGTCTTCATCTCTACTTGTTTGTCCTTGTCCAGCACTCCACTGGTGTCCCGCTTCCAGGAGGAAGCAGAGGAGATAAGGAAGGTTTGTGTTTTATGTGTCAGGACATAATAAAGCAATCATCTGGTTATTACCAGGTCCTAAAATTAGGTAAATACAGTATCAGATGAACAATAACACATGATACATTACACAGTGTCCTTGTGTATTTTGTAAGAATGAAGCCAAAATGCAGAAGCTGTATGAGGTGATCCACCTCATACAACTTCTAGGTTTTAGAACCACCTTTAGCAGGAGAAACGCTCAAGACCAACAAACTGACAAAAATTCTGCTTTCATAGAGGTGATCACACTTGCTGATGATCAGTTAAATGTATCTGATTAGCAGTACCTGAATGCTACTTACCTCCTAATTCCTATGAAAGCAGGAAAGTGTGCTTAGTTTTTCCACACACTGCTTCTGCATTTTCCTGTAGTTTTGTTCAATAAATAATGATATGGTATAATATTTTGTATTGTTGTTTACCTGAGGCTGATGTTGCTTGCAGTTGTACTAACCTAGTTTATGACCTGCTAAGGGGTTATGTTCTATAATAAAACCTTAGAAGTATGCACTTTCACACAAGTGCTTTGAAAGTCTTCTCATTAGATTGTTTAAAGCGTTTGAGGGAAACAGACCGTGTGTGTCTGTTACATGAAGAGAACAGGTTGCATTTAATTGCTATGAGATGTGACTAGCTGGTTTTTCCTCTTCACTACTTCCATTTCAAAGATAAAAAACAGAGAAAATCTATATTTATCCCTCTGGCCACATTCCAGAAAGTTAAGCATACCTCAGATACCAGTTATAGCAGCATTCAGCAGATCCTCCCTTACCTCTGATAGTATATAGCTGAGTAGGATTTTGTGACCTGCATGCCTGTGTTGACTTCTGCTAGCACAGCAGCGGTAAATGATTTTTGCTCACAGTGAAGAAAAATCACATTTATTTTACATTTAAGAGCAGCTTGCCTATCCACAGGCCTTTTCCCATGCCATTACTCTAGGTAATTTACACATTTTAATGTAGGCAAATTTAATATCACACTACATCCGCTTATACAATATTGATTACTAGGAGTGTTTTCCTTAGCCAGTGATCATTAACGTGTTTGTGTGTGTGTGGCAGCTGAGCTGGACTACAGCAGCGTTCTCCTTGGGATGTTGGTGATGCAAGATGTTCAGCTCGGCCTCTTCATCGCTGTCATGCCGACTCTGATCCAGGCACAAAGTGGAGAGTTGGACGGGTGTGTTGGTCTTTCTGTTGTTATTGCATGTGTGCTCTGTGTAAACACGCACACAGCATTGTAAACTCTTCCCTCTGTGCACCGCAGCTTCCTGTATGGCAGCCTCCACGTGCTCTATCTCCTGGCCCAGGTCCTGGTGTCGCTGGCTGCTGTGCTTCTGCTCTGCTTGCTCTTCAGATCATTCCTGATTGGCCCCTTTTACAAGAAGCTTCACACTGAGAGCAAAGGCAACAGGGAGATCCTGGTGCTGGGGATGGCAGCTTTTGTCTTTTTCATGCTGACAGTATGCTGTCTGTTTTTAACCTTTTCTTTTAGATAAAGATCTCACTTTATTCACTTATTATGTATTTCATGTTCTTGTCTAACCCGTCGTGTGTCTGTGCTGGTTCTTTTCTTGCTGACTCATGCTGCAGGTAACTGAGGTGCTGGATGTTTCCATGGAGCTCGGTTGTTTCCTGGCTGGAGCTTTGCTGTCCACAGGGTCACATGGTCACAGCAGAGGTCATGGGATGCATCGAGCCGATCAGAGACTTCCTTGCCATCATCTTCTTTGCTTCTATCGGTTAGCCTGAACGCGATCATGTGACTGATCTGACCTTGGTGTTGCGTTAGTTTTGTGTTGTTTACCGTGACTTTACTGAATGGTAAGTGTGTGTCTGTGTGACTGCAGGTTTCACGTGTTCCCGACATTTGTGCTGTATGAACTCACCATCCTGCTGGCGCTAACTCTCACACTCGTCATTATGAAGGTACAGACTACTCCTGTGTTTTGTCTTTGTTTTTTGCTTTTCTTTGTCTAGCTCCAGTTTCTGTTTCATTTGACTCCTTATTTCCTTCCAGTTTATGATGGCTGTACTCTCGTGCTGTCAGCAATCTTGCCTCCAGGGTCTCGGCACATACAGTGGATCGTCTCTGCTGGCCTCGCTCAGGTCAGCGAATTCTCCTTCGTCCTGGGCAGTCGTGCGCGTCGAGCTGGCATCATCTCCAGAGAGGTCAGTGATTACCTCTTATGTTAGTGTTGGCATCTGTTTTACTATTCAGACAGAGGAGAATATA